GATTATGAACAGAACACTCTAAGTTTTTGTGTACAGTATCTATGTGAACATAAGTTTTTATTTCTCCAGTGTAAATAACTGGGATTGGGATTATTGGACCATTAACTTCCCAGGTGGTGCTAGTGGTAAAGAATCCGCCTGCCAATGCAGAAGACGTAAGTGATGCAGGTTCAATCCTGGGTCTGGAAGACCTCCTGGAGGAGGGCCCAGTAATCTGCTCCAATATTCTTGCCTGGAAAATCCCACGGACAGAGGAGTCTGGCAGGCTACAGTCCATGGTGTTGCAAAGAGTCAGACATGACTGAAACAACTTAGCACATAGAAGCATACATGTATGTTAAGTGTATATTTAACTTTATATGAAACTACCTAATTCTTTTCCAGGGTGGCTGTACTATTTTGCATGCTTGCCAGCAATATAAAAGTTGCAGATGTTTGTCTATGTTTTCCTCTAAAAATTTTATAGTTTTATTATTAACATTCAGATCTATGATCCACTTTGAGTTAATTTTTATACAAGGTATGAGGTTTTTGGTCAAGGTTCATTTCTTACACATGGATATCCAATCATTCCAATAACACATATCATTTGTTGAAAGACTGTCATTTCTCCATTGAGTTCTTTGCACCTTGTCAAAAAATCAATTGACCATATTTATGTAGGTCTATTTCTGTGTTCTCTATTCTGTTGCATTGCTCTACATGTCTGTGACTTCTCTAATACCACACTGTCTTGATTACTGAGCTGTACGGTAAGCCTTAAAATCAGATGGTGTGATTCCTCCACCTTTATCAATATATTCAACATAATTTTGGTTATTCTATTTCCTTTGCCTGTCCACATAAATTTTGGAGTCAACTCATCCAGTCCATAAACATGGTATATTTCTCCAGTTATTTAGGTCTTTGGAGATTTCTTTCATCAACATTTTATAGTTTTAGCATATAAATCCTGTACATGTTTTGTTAGATTTTACCTATTTCACTTTTTGGAGTTATTATAAGTAGTATTGTTTATTGCTAGTATATAGAAATGTGATTGGTTTCTGTGTGCTGATCTTGCATTTTTGAACCTTGCTAAATTCATTTATTAGTTCCAGGAGAATGAGTGTGTGTGTGTGCATGCACACACATGTTTATTTGTGATTGTCTGTGTAGACAATCACATCATCTGTGAATAGGGACAGTTTTGCTCCTCTCCCTTCTTTCCTCTTCTCCCCATCCCTAACCGCTTAGAATTAAGATGCCCAATGTGGATGAAATATAAGAGAGGAGGATAAGTAGAGTTGCCACAGGTCATCTGCAAATTATTCAAGCTGCCTGGCAGTCTGGACTTCACCAAGGGCTCAGCAGGTAAAGAATCCATCAGCAACACAGGAGACGCAGGAGACATGGGTTCGATATCTGGGATGGGAAGATCCCCTAGAGGAGGGCAACCCACTCCAGTCTTCTTGCCAGGAAAAACCCATTGACAGAGGAGCCTGTCAGGCTATGGTCCATCAGGTTGCAAAGAGTCGGACACAACTGAAGCAACTGAGCACGCGCAGGATTCATTCTACAAGATAATAGAAATATATGCAGATGATGTTATCATGTACTATGAAAAATGACTAAATGATAATGCAAATTTTAATAATAAATATTTTAAAATATCAGTACTCCCTATGTGCCAGGGACCACTCTAATAATTGTACCTAAATGAACCTTATCTAGTAATCACAATTCTAAGATATGGGTACTATTTTCCCCATTTTACAGATTCAGAAACCATAAGTAGCAGAGCTGGGTACAAACCCAGGTAGGTAGTCTGGCTTCAGCACTTACACACTTTACTATTACACAATAGAACATTAGATTCTAGAAATGGACTCTAAAATACCTAGGAGATATAGCATTTAATAAAGGGGCATTTCAAATGAATGAGTAAAATGACAACTATTTAATTTAATTTGACATAATTATGTAGGAACAACTGGGTAGCCATTGGGAAGAATTAAAGTTGGAAATCTACATTTGTTTTGTACCTCAAAATAAAACCTATATGGTACAAGCATTCAAAAGTAAAAAATTAGAAACATAAAAGTGCTAGGAAAAAACATGGAGAAATAATTTTATAATCTTGAGGTAGGGAAAGCTTTTCAAAGTATAGTACATTTACCAGCTATTATAAATGAAATGAATAACAATTTGATTAAAATAAAGAAAATATTTTAAATTTGTATATTCCAAGAAAAAATTTACAAGTTTAAAGACAAATAACAAACTCAGGAAAATATTGGAAACAGGAAGACAAAGGGTTATTATCCACACTATAAAAAGAGTTATTCCATTTTTAAACCTGGTTGTTTGGGGTTTTGTTGTTGGGTTGTATGAATTCTTTACATATTTTGGATATTAGCACCTTATTGGCTATATGATTTGCAAATATCTTCTCCCCTTGAGTAGGTTGTCTCTTCATTTTGTTGATGATTTCTTTTGCCATGCAAAGCTTTTTAGGTTGATGTAGTCCCATTTGTTTATTTTTGCTTTGGTTTCCCTTGCCTGAGGAAATATATCTAGAAAGATATTGTTAAGATCTGTGTCAATGAGCATACTGCCTCTGTTTTCTTCTAGGAGTTTTATGGTTTCAGGCTTTACATTCAAGCCTTTGATCCATTTTGAGTTTATTTCTGTGTATGGTATGAGATAATAGTCTAATTTCTTTTTTCTTTTCTTTTTCTTGTATGTGGCTGTCCAGTTTTAATAACGTCATTTAGTGAAGAGACTAAACTTTCTCCATTGAATATTCTTTGCTACTTTGCTGTAAATTAATCTTCCTTATATGTATGGGTTTATTTTGGGGCTTTCAATTATGTTCCATTGATCTAGATATCTTATTTTTCTGCCAATACCATGTTGTTGTGATTACTATAGCTTTGTAACATAGTTTGAAATCAGGTAGCGTGATACCTCCAGCTTTGTTCTTTCTTCTAAGGATTGCTTTGGCTATTTGAGGTCTTTGTGCTTCCATTTAAATTTTATGTTCTATTTCTGTGAAAAATTTCCTTGAGGTTTTGATAGGGATTTCATTGAATCTGTGTAGACTGTGTTAGGTAATACGGACATGTTAACAATGTTAATTCTTTCAATCCATGAGCAAAAAATATCTGCCCATTTTTTTGTGCTGCTATGGAAAACAGTATGGAGATTTCTCAAAAAATTAAGAACTACCATATGATCTAGTTATTATACATTTTGGTATTTATCCAGAGAATACAAAAACACCAATTTGAAAAGATGTGTGTAAAAGAGGATGGTGCATATATATATATATATATATACACACAACCCAGTCATAATAAAGATGAAGTCTTGCCATTTATGACAACATGAGGGGATAATAAGGGTATTATGCTAAATGAAATAGACAAATACTATATGATGCCACTCATATGTGGAATACAAACAAACAAACAATAAAAGATAAATGAATAAACCAAAACAAAACAAACATGTATATATGGGACAGAGTAGTGGTTACCAAAGGAGAAGGGGCAGGAGGGAATGCACATTGGGGAAAGGGGGCCAAGTATATAAAGATAAATGGGAAATAAATTTTGGTGGTGAGCATGCTGGTGTGCATTCAGAAGTAGAAATATAATGTGGTATACACGAAACATAATGTTATAAGTCAATGTCACCTCAATAAAAATTTTTTAAATAAAAAATTTAAAAAGAGAACTATTCATAACTGGCAAGGAAATACTAAATTCAATGAAAACATGGGCAAACAACACAAACAAGCTGCACATTTGAAAAAGGAAGGACACAAATGGCTAAGAAACAAAAGGTGCTCAATTTTACTAAAAATCAAAAATAATGAAAGTAATTACATACCACTTTACACATATCAGACTAGCAAAGAAAACATGAATGAAAATGCACAGTTTTGGCAAGGGTATGGGGGGAAATCACTCTCATACTCTGGTCCAATGAATCTAAACTTGTATAATTTCTTTTAGAGGGCAAGTTGGCAATAGCTATCCAATTATAAAATGTGCATACCCACTGGAGCAATTCCATTTCCAGCATTTGTTTCAAGGAGTGCATACATGTACAAAGCTATTTACAACGATGTCCATTTTAGGGTTCTATAAAAATAAAAAGTCAGTTAACAATCCAAAGGAGCACTCACCTTATGCAACTAAGTTTTTAAAAGGTAAAACTTTAAGTATTGACCCCATGGACTATAACCTACCAGGGTACTCTGTCCATGGAATTCTCCAGGCAAGAATAATGGAGTAGGTTGCCATTCCCTTCTCCAGGGGATCATCCCAACCCAGGGATGAAACCTGGGTTTCCCGAATTGCAGGCGGATTCTTTATTATCTGAGCCACCAGTGACACCAATTGACATATTACAAAACCTATAATCTACTGCTATCTTATCCATTTATTTCTGAGGATTCTTGAAGACTCTTAAAGGGTGACAATTACTTAAATGAGCACACCTTTGTAACCCATCAGTTCAGTTCAGTTGCTCAGTTGTGTCCGACTCTTTGTGACCCCATGAACTGCAGCATGCCAGGCCTCTCTGTCCATCACCAACTCCTGGAGTCCACCCAAACCCACGTCCCTTGAGTCGGTGATGCCATCCAACCATCTCATCTTCTGTCGTCCCTTTCTCTTCCTGCCCTCAATCTTTCCCAGCATCAGGGTCTTTTCAAATGAGTCATTTCTTCACATCAGGTGGCCAAAGTACTGGAGTTTCAGCTTCATCATCAGTCCTTCCAATATTAGGATGGACTGGTTGGATCTCCTTGCAGTCCAAGGGGCTCTCAAGAGTCTTCTCCAACACCACAGTTCAAAAGCATCAATTCTTCTGCACTCAGCTTTCTTTAGAGTCCAACTCTCACATCCACACATGACTACTCAAAAAACCATAGCCTTGAATAGGCAGACCTTGGTTGACAAAGTAATGTCTCTGCTTTTTATTTTATTTTTATTTAAGCCAAAAAAAAGTTTTTTTCAAGAAAATGTAGAAATATTTTAATTTACATATCATATTACAATGAATCAACATGGAGTCAAAATCCACAGTTACACATTCCTAAAAATTCTGACCATCAATCTCAGAATAATCAGTTTCTGTACAAAGATTTACAGCTGTCTGATATATGTAGTTTTTCCTCAGTGTGCTACAGAGTTCAAAGATTCTGCTTGAATATTCCCCAAATCAAGTGCAGAATCTGTCTCTTCATCAATTTCTCCAATGACTGCAACATTGTCGCCTCTTATGATGTATAACCCTAGTACCACTTGTTCTACTCCCTGTGAAGAGCTGAACACTCGTTCATGGCTTTCATCCAGTATCAAATTAATGGTCTGGTCAAAACCTTTCAGTGTTCCCACAATCATTCTCCCATCAGAAGTAATGACAGCAACAGTTCGGTTGATGTAGTTCTCCAAGGTGGACGTCATGATATGCGACCTGGCAACTGGAAACACAACAGCCCCGGCGACCAGATGAGCTAAAAAGTGTCTCTGCTTTTTAATATGCTGTCTAGGTTGGTCATAACTTAGCTTCCAAGGAGTAACGTCTTTTAATTTCATGGCTGCAATCACCATCTGCAGTGATTTTGGAGCCCAGAAAAATAAAGTCAGCCACTGTTTCCCCATCTATTTGCCATGAATTCATGGGACCACATGTCATGATCTTAGTTTTCTGAATGTTGAGTTCCAACTTTTCCACTCTCCTCTTTCACTTTCATCAAGAGGCTTTTAAGTTTTTCTTCACTTTCTGCCATAAGGGTGGTGTCATCTGCATATCTGAGGTTATTGATATTTCTCCCGGCAATCTTGATTCCAGCTTGTGCTTCATCCAGCCCAATGTTTCTCATGATGTACTCTGCATATAAGTTAAATAAGCAGGGTGACAGTATACAGCCTTGACGTACTCCTTTTCCTATTTGGAACCAGTCTGTTGTTCCATGTCCAGTTCTAACTGTTCCTTCCTGACCTGCATACAGGTTTCTCAAGAGGCAGGTCAGGTGGTATGGTATTTCCATCTCTTTCAGAATTTTCCATAGTTTATTGTGATCCAAACAGTCAAAGGCTTTAGTATAGTCAATAAAGCAGAAATAGATGTTTTTCTGGAACTCTCTTGCTTTTTTGATGATCCAACAGATGTTGGCAATTTGATCTCTGGTTCCTCTGCCTTTTCTAAAACCAGTTTGAACATCTGGAAGTTCACAGTTCACGTATTGCTGAAGCCTGGCTTGGGGAATTTTAAGCATCACTTTACTAGCGTGTGAGATGAATGTAATTGTGCAGTAGTTTGAGCATTCTTTGGCATTGCCTTTCTTTGGTATTGGAATGAAAACTGACCTTTTCCAGTCCTGTGGCCACTGCTGAGTTTTCCAAATTTGCTGGCATATTGAGTGCAGCACATTCACAGCATCATCTTTCAGGATTTGAAATAGCTCAACTGGGATTCCATCACCTCCACTAGCTTTGTTCATAGTGATGCTTCCTAAGGACCACTTGACTTCACATTGCAGGATGTCTGGCTCTAGGTGAGTGATCACACCATCATGATTATCTGGATCATGAATATCTTTTTTTGTACAGTTCTTCTGTGTCTTCTTGCCACCTCTTCTTAATATCTTCTGCTTCTGTTAGGTCCATACCATTTCTGTCCTTTATTGAGCCCATCTTTGCATGAAATGTTCCCTTGGTATCTCTAATTTTCTTGAAGAGATCTCTAGTTTTTCCCATTCTGTTGTTTTCCTCTATTTCCTTGCATTGATCGCTGAGGAAGGCTTTCGTATCTCTCCTTGCTATTCTCTGGAACTCTGTATTCAAATGGGTATATCTTTCCTTTTCTCCTTTGCTTTTCGCTTCCCTTCTTTTCACAGCTATTTGTAAGGCCTCCTCAGACAGCAATTTTGCTTTTTTGCATTTCTTTTTCTTGGGGATGGTCTTGATTCCTGTCTCCTGTATAGTGTCACGAACCTCCGTCCATAGTTCATCAGGCACTCTATCAGGTCTAGTCCCTTAAATCTATTTCTCACTTCCACTGTATAGTCATAAGGGATTTGATTTAGGTCATACCTGAATGGTTTAGTGGTTTTCTCCACTTTCTTCAATTTCAGTCTGAATTTGGCAATAAGGAATTCATAATCCATAGTCAGCTCCCAGTCTTGTTTTTGCTGACTGTATAGAGCTTCTCCATCTTTGGCTGCAAAGAATATAATCAATCTGATTTCGGTGTCATCCATCTGGTGATGTCCATGTGTAGAGTCTTCTCTTGTGTTGTTGGAAGAGGGTGTTTGCTATGACAAGTGCGTTCTCTTGGCAGCACTCTATTAGCCTTTGACCTGCTTTATTGTGTACTCCAAGGCCAAATGGGCATAACTGTAATACTTGCCATGTAGGATTGTTTATTATTCATTCCTTCAAAAATATTTAACAGGTAAAATTTTCAGGCACTGTGCTTGGTGTTTATATTTATATTGTACAAATATAAGCAAAACAGACATGGTCCCTGCTCTCTAGATGCTTACCGTCCACTATAAGCTGTGTGTTTAGGGTGTATGTATGTCTGTATGTGGTGGAGGGAACAGACATTAATCACACAAATGTACAACTGTCTTGGGTGCCTATGGAGTAAAATAGTAGAGTATCATGAAATTTTATCATAGGCTACCTTGGTCTAGTTTTGGGGGGCAGGGTGAGGGAAGGCTTCTGGTGAAGTTATATTTGAATTTTAAAAAAGATAGTGATGGGCCAGGCACTTTGCATAAATGTTCACTCCATAGACCAGTTAAAAAGAATAAGTAAGGTAGATGTATATACAATGATATAGAAAGCATGTCAAGAATACATTGTTAATAAAGCAAGTTGTAAAACAGATATAGCATGATTCTCTCCCTTTTTATTGTTTGAAAAAAACTATATTATAATACATATATCTATCAGTGTATAGATAGAAAAAGATCTGGAAGACTATATACCATACTAACAACTGTTAACTCTATTTGAATAATTTGTCTGACATTCTAATCAGAAAAGAAACAATAAAGACATATATGAAAGTGAAAGTGTTAGTCACTCAGTCGTGCCCGGCTCTTTGTGATCCTAAGGACTGCAGCCCGCCAGGCTCCTCTGTCCATAGGATTCTCCAGACAAGAATACTGGAGTAGGTAGCCATGCCCTCCTCCAGGGGATCTTCCCGACCCAGAGATTGAACCCGTGTCTCCTGCATTGCAGGCAGCTCAGACGGTAAAGAATTCTTGCTTGGATAAACCCATGGACAGAGGAGCCTGGCAGGCTACAGTCCAGTAGGGTTGCAAAGAGTCTGACACAACTGAAAGACTTAGCATGCATAAATATATATATATACACACACACATATATAAGCAACTGTATTAATGTGAGAAATAACAGTATTAAAGGTAAAAAGTTTTAAATAGGGTAAAAGAGATACTGATAAAAGATACTATCTACCAAGAATATCTTAGTATCATAAGCATACATACAAATAACATTCCATTAAAATATATAAAGAAATCACAAAAGAAATAAGTTATAAAAAAGAGCACAATACATTTACAATAGTAGGAATCATGAAAGTCATGCTATTGGATCACAGTGCAATACAACTAACTTCTTTTTTTTTTTTTTTAATGTTTTATTTTTTTATTTTTTTTAACCTTTTTTTTTTTTAATTTTTATTAGTTGGAGGCTAATTACTTTACATCATTACAGTAGTTTTTGTTATACATTGAAATGAATTAGCCATGGATTTACATGGGGACTGGGATGGGGAATACAACTAACTTCTAAGCACAAAAACAGCATCCCCCAAAGCTGTCACTTTGAAAATCAAATAATACTTATAAATAACTAATGGTCAAAGAAGAAGTCAAAACCAAAATTATAGACTAGAAATTAATGAGAATGAAAGCATTATATATTAAAGGCAAGTAGAAAAAAAGTATAATCTTAAATTATTTTAGAAATAAGTAAGGAAGACTGAAAATGAATTAAGCCATATATTTAACACAAGCCATTTCAAAGAAAACAGCAAATCAAACTTAGAACTAGAGTAATGTATTAATAAATATAACAGCTGAAAATAATTTATTAAGTAGAGAACAGCAAGTGGTAGAATGGGAAAATAAATCCAAGAAATATGGTTTAATTGATGGATAGACAGATGATAGCTATGTGATAAAATATAACAAAATATTAATGATAAAATTTCTGCTGTGCATTTACCAGTGTTCACTGTAAAACTCCTTCAGCTTTGCTCTATGTTTGAAATATTCATAATTAAATAGATTAAAAATCTATCATCACCCAGAACATGAGTTTGGGAAACACTGTACTAGAAGTTTCACTAAACCAGGAGAAAGACAAAGATGTCCACTGTTGCCTCTACTATTTGACCATTTTTTTGTTGAAGTTCAATAAAACATAATATGTCAAGTAAATGCATATAGGAATTATAAATATGATAAGGAGGGGAAATCATTATCTACCTGGAAAACCAAAGAAAATGAACAGCAAAACTATTAGAACTGATAAGGAAGGTAAGTTATAACAACAAGGAAGGTAAGTAGGATGGCCAGTTACAAAAAGATGTCCCATTATGCACAAAAAATATATAAAAGGCTACTTCTAAATAGAGGTAATAGTGACGGGGAAAGGTGGTGAAACATGCTTTTCTGTTTTGCTCCATGTACGGTATTTCCATAATGGCTGAATCTTTTACAACCAGAATGACTCCTGTAGTTTTTTGAGGAAAATAAATCTATAGTAATAGGCAGAATCCTAGAAAGCCTCACCTTAATTTCCCTAGATTTCCCACCCTAATTTCTGGACTTTGAATGTGATGAGATACCATGCAGGTGATTATGTTAACATCACCTGGTAAAACAGATTTTGCAGTTGTAACATTCCCCTTAAAATAGGGAGATTATTTTGTATTATTCCCCAATAGCATTAATCTAATTACATAATTTTTAAAAAATCACATAAATCTTTTAAAAGCAGAGTTTTCTCAAGCTAGTGGTAGAATGGAAAGTCAGAGAGATTCCAAACAAAAAAAGGATTCAGTGTGCCAGGGCTGGTTTGAAGATGGAAGGGGACACATAAGGAAAAATGTGAGCAGCCTCTAGAAGCTGGGAGCATGGGATCTCAGTCCTACAATGGTAAGGAACTAAATCCTGACAACAATCTGAATGAATCTGGGTGGATTCTTCCCCCAGATAACTCCATATAAAAGCCAATTCTGGGGACACCTTCATTTTGGCATTGTATGATCCTAAACAAAGAACTCAACCAAGCCCATCAGGATGTCTGACCTACATAACTGTGAGACAATAAGGTGTTATTTTATTTTATTTATTTTTTTAATAAGGTGTTATTTTAAATGGCTAAATTTGTGGTAATTTATGATGCAACAATAGAAAAATACAAAATACATTAACATCAACAAAACAATGATGTATGGTGGTGGTGGTTTAG